TACCTGATTACACGTTCGGTGAACACTATCCTCCGCTACACACTGTAGAGCTGCAGGGTGAGTATACGCACTATTACACACACGCGCGCTCACACACACACGCGCGTGCACCCACACACACCCACCCACACACACACACACACACACACAACACACACACACACACACAACACTCACACATCACAACACACTCACCACACACACTCACACACACACAAACACACCCACACACACACACACACACACACACACACACAGCACGAACACACACACACACAAAGACCAGACAGGTAGGCAAGACAGGTGTGTCAGAGATTGGGGTGTGGGCGAGTGTGTTAGCGGATGTGATGTGATGGATTGTCCTGTGTATGTTTGATGTCGGACCGACAGACAGAAACAGTTGGTTTTGAGTGAGTGTTATAGAATGGCTTACTTTGGCTTCGTAGTTGGTGGATTAATCTTGTTGAGTTTCGTCTGTTCTTGCTCTTGCTGCCATGTCTGCTGTGTGTGTTTACTCCTAGCTCTGTGTGTGTATGGGTTTAGCTGCTCCTACATGTAACGTGGTGCTTCTGTGTTCGTTCTCTCCTTGAACCTTAGTATCGCCTCGGCTCGCTGTGAATGTTTTTGATTTATCGTTAAACAATCGTTTCCATGTGCATGGCTTAACGGTATTTCATGGGTTGTGCACGCGCGTGTGTGTGTGAGCGCGCGTGTGTGTAATAGTGCGTATACTCACCCTGCAGCTCTACAGTGTGTAGCGGAGGATAGTGTTCACCGAACGTGTAATCAGGTATCGACATCAACGAGTTAAAGTTCATCGACAGCGTCTTCAGGTTGGCCAGTCCTTCTAGCGCGCTCGGACAGACGAACTCTATAGCATTGCCATCCAAGCCCAGCCACGCGAGCGATGTCGCGTCACGGAGTGCGGCTGCGGGGAGCGACTCTATCAGATTGCTACCAATGTCGAGTTGTTGGAGTTTGCGCATGGAGCGGAGAGCGGCGAACACTCTCTCGTCGAGCTGGCCGCTGTTCAGCGTCAGATACTCTAGCGTGTCCTCCATTACGTGCATCGCAGCGCCATCTATGAGCATCAGCTGCGTGTTGTGATCCAGTTCTAACCTGCGGAGCTTGGTCAGGCCATCGAAGGCGCCCAGTTGTAAACTCTGCAGCTGGTTGTGGGACAGGTAAAGGTTTTGGAGACTGTGCAAGTCGGCGAATGCTCCAGTTTCTATGGCGTTGATGCCGCTTCCCTCCAGGTAGAGATACTCGAGTGTAAACAAACCTGCGAGAGTGCCCGCTGCTAGCTGTTCTATATTGAGGTTGCTTAGGTATAGGATGAGCAGGCTTTCTAATTGTGTGAAGCAGCCGGCAGGTATCGACAGCTTTGGGTTGTTTCCAAGATGCAGGTAGTTTAGCATTAACGGGTCATCAAATATTCCCTCGGGAAACGCTTCGAGCTGGTTACTCAGCAATATCAAATGCGTCAAATTGCTGAGTCCCTTAAAACTCGCTGCACTGAGGTCCGATATTTTATTGTACGCGAGATTAAGGTATTGGAGGCTAGCCAGGTTTTGGAACGTTTCTCCTGCTATCATCGTAATGTTATTAACGTGAAGGTCGAGGGATGTTAAACTAGTTAGATCATTAAACAGGTCTGGGGATAGTTCACTGATGTCGTTAGTGAACAGGTTCAATGATTGAAGGAATACGAGGCCATCGAACGCGCCTGCCTCTACTTTAGCTATCTCCTGTAATTCTAAGGTCAAGCTAACCAAGTTTTTAACTTGCGTAAATGCAGATGCGGTGATATGTTTCAGTTTGTTTCTTCCTAAACTGAGAGCTTGCAGATCGCTAAGGTTATCGAACATTGAAGCCCTTATCTCCGTCAGCTCGTTTGACTCCAAGTATAATTTTTCCAAGTTATTTAATCCAGAGAACCCGCTGTCTTCAATGTATGCTATCTGATTGCGGGACAGGTCTAGCATTTGTAGATCATTCATGCTGACGATGTCTTGTTTCTTTATCTCACTAATTGCGTTGTCAGATAGGGTAAGAGAAGTCAGGGTTTGGAAGCCCGTTATTGCTTTAGAAGGAAAGGATCGCAAATTATTCCAACCCAAATTCAACTCGACTAAATCGACTTCGAGGCCGTTGAAAGCTCCGGCCGCGATTTCCTCTATTCCGCTGTGAACCATGAACAGTTTCCTAGCCGACGTTCCGCCGAACGCGTCACTAGCAACCGTCGTCATGTCGTCGCAGTACTCGATCCTCAGCTCTTCAACGACATCCTGGATATTCCCGATGGCGAGGAACACTTCGTCTGCCCGTCCGTTCTTACACGTCACCAGCAGCTGGGCGTCCTCTGTCTCCTCACAGAAGCACGGATGGATGCTGGCAGACGACGGACATGCCCCGTTACCACTAGAGGCCGACAGCAGCAGCATGAGAACGATAACAGCGCCAGCCGTCCATGTTAGGCCGTAACGAGTGATCGCTGGCGACATGTTCACTGCTCTCATACGGAACGCCTGTAAATATCAGCGTTCGTTATCTAAAAACTCCCGATAGTCAGGAAGCATAAATCGTCACTATAGTAAACCGGCGTACGATGTACCCGCCGTACACAGAGTGAGCTCACTAATAAACGGTAGCCGCACAATAAACTAATATATCACAGCGTCGCTGCATGTCGTGTGAACGGTTGAACGTGCGTGCGACACTGTCGCGTGCGTGCGTTGGTGATGGCGCGTCAATGGCAACGCTATCCTCCCTGTAACGCGACCACTCTACCTGGCAATCAGATCTTACTAATTCCGTCATAGATAACTGTGTATATATACATAGGGTCCAAGGAGCGAACGCAGAACCTATTATACAGCGCGATGTGACAAGCTTGCTAGTGATGCTGCAATAACATAATATACAGAACATATATATAATTATATATATAGCATGTATTTATGAGATGCTTGAATGGCATGCAGTGAGCTTCACTATATAAGTGTGCTTACCATGTTCGCGTTCTATTATGTGTGCGACCAGCACAAGCAAGTAGGATTACTTGCACAGCACAAAGATGGTGTTGATATGTGACTATAAAAGCTATAAGATACATCTCATTAGAGCCAAAGTCCATACGTCGCTTACATACAGCGTATGTGTTCACATAAAGATTGTTTACATGCCGCCAGATTTGTGGCGCTGGCCACTGTGCGCTTGATAACAATCTATAAATTGACCCTGATATTTTCCTAATGATAAATATGATACAGTACTGGAGATATACTATATGCGATAGTGTATATCTACTAATCTAGCAGAAAGCGAAACTTCGAGGTGGGTGAATGACTATGTAATGACACGTACGGGAAATGGCGAGCGTGATCTAGCCTACTTAACATTCTCGCCACATTCTCGTTCTTATAAAAAATAAATCATTTTGCACGCACGATGTTTATGTGGCGTTAAGATTTCAACCGATGATGCAGTTAAAAGCGATTACATAAAAACTCTCCTTTGCCATGTACCGTTTTATTAGAATTGTACGCAAAACCAATGCAGGCATCTACGGATACGTGCAGCATATATAACTACACATAGTTCACAGAAAATATTAAAAAAACTCTGCAGGTTTTTTTTGCAACACTAAATACACGGGTGATAGCGAATATAATATACACAC